ATTCCTATAATTCACAAGTCAGTAATTTATGAGGAAACTGTTACCACCAGAAGGAGTTGTTCAATTTTGTTCATTTTGCCACAGATGTTCATTATACAAATTAATTTTTTTATTTATTTTTTTTTAAATTCAGTATGGAGTAAGAAGGTGGTGGAGGTTTAAGGAGGAGGACTGACCACACACCCCCCAAAAAGGTTTGTCGTCTCCTACTCCTCCCCGTGCCTGCCATTCCCATTGTAATAACTTTTACTTTTTTTTATTAATTAATAAAGATATGTTTACTGTATTAATCTGTGCTTTTTAATACCTGACCTTCATATACAATACAATGCAATACTTTTTATAATGTATCAGAGCTGTACACTCCTCGTCACTGCATTATGTGCGGGGTCGTGACGGACATAAACAACAAGATGCATAATTAATAAAAAATTAATCTGAGAAGTTAACAAACTTCCGGTAGTGTATGGGCCTCTTTCTCTTGACACTCCTGCAGGTGTGAAGGAACTGACTCTGCCAAGTTGTGGATTATTTGTGGGTTCTAAATTATTCCACTTCATGAATAGCCGCCTCCAGCTTGGAGACGGAACTTTTTTCTTTTTTTACGGGAATTAACCCACCCGGGCACAGGTCGAACGACCCACAACGGGCCTGGGGCGATAAAAAAAGAACAGAAAGAAATTGAAAATAGAGAAGGAAAAGGTTATACAGTGTACTGTATTAATCTACACTGAAGATGCCGGAAAACCAGCTTTTTAAAGTGAGACAGATTGTAAGGAGTATGGAAACACAGAAGAAGGCAGAGCATTCCACAGTTTGGCTGTGTGAGGAAAGAAGGATGCACTATAACGGGTTATTCTAGTGTGACCAATATCCACAGAAAAACAGTGGGCACCACGGGCAAGACGTGTGTTACAAGCCCACGGCCTTCCCGGCGCACACAGGATGCCAAATCTACCGAACATTGCCTGTTAAAGTACCTGTAAAAGAGAGAGTGAAGCAACATTGCAGCGAAGAGAAAAAGGGAAGAAAGATTATCAACTAAAGGAGGAGAGTTAATAAGAAGAAATGCCTTTGATTCCACCCTATCTAACAGTTGGACAGAAGAAGAGCCACCTAGATATGAAAGCAGTACTCCAAGTTAGGACAAATGAATTCCTTATAAACTTGAAGCAACTGCTCAGGGGTGAAGTAGTTACGGCATCTGTACAGCATTCTAACTTTCGGGAGGCAGCCTTGTAGACGAAGCTTGATAATGCTCCAATTAGTTCCTACCGGGTTAAGGTCAGGTGAATTGCTTGGCCAATCACTTATGAAGTCTACCTGACAGTCAACAAGCCATTGTATTACAGATTTTGCTGTGTGACATGGGGTACCATCCTGCATAAACACATCAGTGCGGCATTTTCAAAAAGACCGGACAAATAATCACAAAGCAGCTCCAAGGAGTTAAATTGGTTCATCATCACATTCCTAGGTAGCACAACAAGATCACTGTTCCAAAGTACAAGAAGCAACCCCCACACCATTAGTGACTCAGGATGCTTAACTCTGCTAAAAGTGAACTAGGGGGTCAAGCAAATCACTTCCAGGGCACCTGTACACATTAAAAGTACAACTTCCAGTAAAAGAAAACGTTGCCTCGTCACTCCACAGCACGTGCTGCCGCTTGGTCATATCCAACTGAGCGTTAGCCTTGGCAAACGAGACCCTATGCTGCCTCTGGACAAGGGTGAGCAGTGGCTTTATGTAGCGGTAGCTGCTAAACAGAAAGCAGGTCGTCATGGATGCAGCGTGAACGGTCCTTCAGAAACATCAGCTAGAAGTACAGGGTTTTTCTTTCAATTTCAGTGGGACAGATGTGGATTAGCACGTTGCCTCCTAAGAACAGTTAATGTGCTGGGGGTTTTTGAGCCTTCCTGGCAGTCCACTGTACACTGGTATTGCCAACACGCTGTCATCTCGAAATCGCATCCAAATCTGAACTGAAACTTCACTCACACCAACAATTCTTGATATTTCCTTTACAGGTTTCTTGCCCTTATGCAGTCTAATAATTGATGCTATCTGCTCCTTAGTTATATCTTTCCTGTTGCCAATTGTGGTAAAAAAGCAAAGAAACAACGGGCATTGTGGCAATAAATAGGGGAAATGTCAGGGAGGGGGGTTAAAACTCATAAACCGCCACAAAACTTATGCGGCAACTGGTGAATGTTTTGATTGCTGGCTGACTTGTCTTGAGTTCTTCGCTGTTATCCGCACGATGCCTGCCTCAACCCCGCTGGCTGGCGACTTCAGCAAACATCACTTTCCGTTGCCACTCGCACGCAATGCAGTGGGCGAGGAGCGGCAGGAATGATTAAATAAAAATAAAATGGGGAATGGCAATACAGTGGTCTCGTTAACGAAAGCACTAACTGCTTCCAGCAGGTTGCTCGGTAACTGTAAAATTCGATAATCCGAAACCATTGTTTCAATGGGTTTTGTACTGGTTCCAGCTCACCGAAAATTGCCTAAATTCAACAAAAATGGTAGAAAAGCACACTTACTTGAGGTGTGTATGTAGAAGGCTCCTGGATGATGATGATGATGCATTTGAAGTGGGAGGTGGAGGAGGAGAAGGAGAAGAGAAGGAAGTGGAGGTGGAGGAGAAGCATTTTACTGCTTCTGGAAGGTGGTCACCCATGAAAATGTCAGGAACTCTGGACTGACAGATTCTCCACCATGAACATCCTCTCTCTCCTTTCTGAAGTGGAAGGCTGAGGGATAGCATCTTGTTCCCTCGGCCTTTACTGAAGAAAGTGTCAATTGTGGTCTGTGGGCATCTGTCCTCCTCACCATTAACTTATGTTTAAAGGAGACCACTGAGTCCTCAACATGACACAGAGTTGTCAGTTTTTCCACTTCTGGGTGCTTTGAAGCCAGTTCCTGAACTTCTCCCAGTAGTAAATCACATCTTTCAACTGTTTAGATCACATATGGTCATCACTTTCAATTTCACTCTCACCGCTGTCACCTCACCCGAATATCTCATCCAGTTCCTTCAAGTCATCAGGAGTAAGTTCTCCTCAGAGACATACATCATGTTTTCCACATCCTCCTCTCCACTTCATGGCCAATGACTGACCAATGGACACAATCTCCTGTCCAACTCTGTTTTTTCAAATCTCAAAAATCATGGACTACTGATGGCCACAGTGCTTCCATGAAGAATTGAGGGATCTAGTGAGACTTCTTGCCATGATGACAACAATTTTCTACAGCCCAGGATGTTGAATTGTGTTTTCCAGAAATGTTTCAGTGTTAGTTCAGGATCATAGTTGCCTGATGACACCTCCTAAACATTTCTTCATGTACAACTTTGAAGTTGCTGGATCACATTCTGGTCCATTGGCTGTATGATTGATGTAGTGTTTGAGGCAAAAACAACAATTTCACAAAGTCAAATTGATACTCCAAATTTCTTGGCAAGGTCATGACCAGGAGCATTATCCATGAGGAGGCTTTTAAAGTGAGTTTATTGGGTTAGGTAGCTCTTGACAGAAGGGCAAAACACATCAACAGTCTATTCATTAAAGAGCTGTCTTGTCACCCATGCCTGCCGTTGGATTTCCAATAAACTCCAAGCTTTGTTCTACTACTTTCTGTTGTTGTTTGAACACCTCTGGGTTTTCAGAGTGGTAGACAAGCATAGGCTTTAGTCGGAAATCCCTGAAGCATTGGCACCAAGCAATAGAGTGAGACGGTTCTTCATGGGTTTATGCCCAGGTAAAGAGGCTTCATCTTTTGGTGATGAATGTTCTTTGGGCATCTTTTTTCCAGAACAGCCCAGTTTCTTGTCCACATTGAACACTTGCTGTGAAGATAATTTTTTCTTCCATCGTTTTTAAATTAATCTAATTTTGTTGCCCTTCCTTATCAGCACCAGCAGCTTTACCATGCCCACACTTAAAATGTCACTTCTTTTTTTTAAATTTTTCGAACTAGCCTTTGTTGGGTTCGGGAAAATCTTCAAATTCTGTGCCTGGAAGAATCCAGGTTGATCTGTCTTTAAATGTTCGGAATCTCCCCTGGTTCTTTTTTAATAAATGAATTCAGTAGAAACTGAATCACCTTCATCTGTTTTTCCTTAACCAGATGATAAGTAACCCTCAGTTTCTGCAATTAGGATCTACTTAAACACTCTTGTAGATTTGTTTCACTTTCACTTTAAATTTGTCTTTCAGGTGAAGAATTGTTTCATTGTGTTGATGCTCTATATGCCATATTTTTGCATAGCTTATTTTTCTAATGCCTTGTTTATGCTTTTTTATGATTTTGCTTGGTTTGGAGCAATACGTGTAACCGGAACGAAATAATACTGA